GACATTATATGCAGACAGAACTCATTTTACTTTGACTTTTTTCTACTTTGGGAATGGCCCATTTATAGTGGTAAACACTGAATTTCACAAAGTGATGCTAACAGGATCACTCAACTACACAACAGAAACACCAAAACTAAATGTTGGCTGCCCAAAGGCTGCATCATTTCATGGCAGAGGAAGAGAGAGGGAATGAGGATATAAATCAGATGAACCCTAAAAAATAAGAGATTAAAAAGGAATAATTACAATTTATCAGTAATCTTTATATTACTGGCTTGAACTAATAACAGATTTATTAGATCAATAAAGATATGATAATTTGAATTTATACAGAATAATTCATGTTGTGATCTTTAAAAGTAAGGAATTTAACAGCAGTCTTTATTTAGCTATGTTTCTCTTCATTATCATTCATTTTACCCATGCTCTAGAGCAGTATTTCTCAAGCTCAGCAACTTTAGATGTGGGGACTTCAGCTCCCAGAATTCCCTCTCAACTCCCAGAATGGGGAATTCTGGGAGAGAAAAATCTATACAACTTAAAGCTATTGAGGCTGAGAAACACTGCTGTAGAGCTGTGGTGGGCCAGCTAAAGGCTCACCTCTCTCTTACCAGTCATGACTAACCAGATGCCTGTTAAAAGACATGAATACATCAGTATTTCCTGTTTATATTTAGAGGAAATTAGAATCACTTAGGAGAGATGGGTGGAGTAGAAATTTAATGAATAAAATAAAATTCAGAGAATGTTGCTCTGGATCTGGTGAAACTATTGCTCTGTTTTTGCAAAACAAAAAAACCCATTCATTTTATCTGAATGCCCTGCTGGATAGATAAAGAATAAGCAGAAATCAATCACCATCACAGGGACATTTTTCTGTTGTTTTTAACCTCAGCCATTCCTCATTTTCTCAGTAAGAAACAAGGAAACAAAACCATGCTTGGTCTACATGCATTTGTTATATATAACAGCTACATTTTAAGACATATTTTAGTCTGAGTGAATGGTATTGCTTTGCCACAGAATTATTTACCAGCAAACCTTTGTACATTTGTAATGTACATATGCCTTTTATGAAACAGACCAAGATATATGTTCAGGAACAGACAAAATTGTTTTAAGATTCAGTACATTTCATCTATGCATTTCAGTATCAAAACTGTTGAACACCCTGGCAACTAACTATACAGTTCTTGATCTGATGTATCATTGTCTTGCTGTTGGAAGTAATTTCTCATCTAAACATTATCTCACATGCAATAAAAATCACTCAGACTTATTTCCAGGCAGATACATTCTGTATGACTGTATCCATGTAAAGTTTTGTAAAAATCTTTTGAGAAATCAGTGTTCCTTTTTTTAAAAAAACTCCTCGATTTATCCCCCCTCCCTGTAACTTAGTTTTCTACTTTTTAAATCAAATACAGGCTTCTTGGAGACGTGTTTAAAAAAACTGAAATTGGTTACTTCAGTCATGTAAGCTAGTTCAATACACAGTGCTTAAAGATTCCACTGGCCTATTCCTGTTTATCCAAATGCACCAAAGTGACTGCAAGTTTGATGGATACAGTTGCAAAAAAAATCTTTTGGGGTAGCGGGTATACAGTGTACAGTTCCAGGAAGAATCAGATGCATGTAAGAAACATTACAGCTAGGGCTATGGAAACAAAGCAAGTATAACATAGATCCAAGTTTTCAACTTGGAGGCATTATTTTTTAAAAATACATGCTTGAGGAACTGAGTCTGTGACATTAATCTGTTAACTTTTGACATTTTCTCATTATCTAATAGAGGCTGAGACTATATTGAATGGAACCATATATTGAATAACTATCAAATTTACACTGAAGATTTCTGACAAATGAAGAAATCAGTGCAGTCAACTGGCTTGTTACATGCAATTTTCATATTTTCCCCACCCAATTCTGTTAGCAGCTCTCCTTTGCTGGCAACATGTGACCTCTGGTACCCTCAAATCAATTATGAGATTGTCACTTTTTTTTACACCATTAGAAAATATATTTGTTAAGGCCTTATTTTTGCAGGCCTCTAGAGACCAGTTTTGCAAGAGGCAGTTAAAGCTCTAATGAAATTATTCAGGCTTCATGGTCCTCTGAATTACTTTTAGGATGTAGACAAGAAAACCAAACACAGTCAAACATGCTGTGTGAACATGACCATCTATGTGATGGTTTGGAATAGAATGGATTGAAACAAACAGATTTTACCTCAGCTAGTCAGAACTGAAACATTTGCATTTTATGAATTCTGATGTAAACCTAACAGATCACAACACATGAATCTTGATTTACAAGCCTTTATATTTGCCAAATATAGCAATTCTTGACTCCAAAGTTGCATTAAAATACATTTAATTTAAAATTCATGCTTCAAGAAAACAATTAGAAACATGTAATTTATATTAATATAAATGTGTAAATTATATTAAATACCCACTTCCATGCAGATATTTTGAAAAAAAAATTCTGTCTTTATTTTACAGATTAAAGCAGACAACAGACCTGATGTATCAATGAACACATATAAAAGTTATCTGAATCAGAAACAGACCAATTTGCACATTCCTAACAATGTAATAGCGATGCATTGTAACTGATAGAATAGACTTCTAGTAAGAAACATTATGAAGTCGAGCAAGATGAACCTCTAATAAATTGTCAGTGCATTTACAGCTTGAATATACTCTCATAAAGAGAGCAAGACAGACACACTATTTGAAAATATTTTAATGTCATAGAATACCTAAGTTTTCTTCCACTGGAAGAGTCAATTTTGCAACAGATAAACGTTTTATACTGCTTAAATCTGATTCAAACAGAAGTAGTATTTGTGCAACATTAAACTTGTTTTGATTAACAATAGCTTAACCTTTGGTTTAACATGGAGCTAACATGTGAAACGCCACTGGTGTTTTCAGTTAATAACAGGATGGGAGAATACTAGGAAATCCTTAGGAGGTAGGAAGGCTAGAAGGGGGGGGGGAGGAAATACCAAGGTGGCAATCAGAAATTATTTTCATATTGCCGCAAAAAAAAAGGTATATTTCTCAGGTCACTAGGAACTGAGCTCACTTAAATATTTTGATTTTACTTTTCATTGATGCAGATTTGTTTACACTGTATTCTCAGTGTGGTGCTCTTGAAATCTCTTGGACCGCAACTTCTAATATGGGAGCTGAAATTCAACTATTTGAGGGGCAGCAGATATGGAAAGTTGAATTAGGTCTTATACAAATCCTTAATAGCAAAACAATTGCATCTTTTCTTCTTGATACTATATAGTAAACACTATTGGAACGAGGCAATTAAGGGTGATTTCACCATAGAAATGTAACTGGAATTTATGAAAAGAAGTAAACATCTTAAAGCATTCCTGTTAAACAGGTAAATAAATAGTAGAAATGCAACAGAGTCTTTGTTTCTAGCACTCTGCAGATCCATCTGTAGGATTTCCAGTCCAAATAAGTGACAGTTTCAAAGCTGATAGAAAAGTTTTGTGCAGAACCAAGTGAAAAAGTAGCCTAGTAGGAGAATAAGAAAGCATATTGTTTGCTGTAATCTTGGACAATTTGAAGATAAATAGATGAATTCCTCTTCTTTATTTAAAGCTGAGAAAAAAAGGGGGGAAAGGGTTAGTTAAGGAAATCTGCATACAAATTCTTTCAACAATACTTAGTAATTTCCTCCAAGCTCCTCTGGAAGTACTTAAGTAAAATACTAAATGAGACAAGTGTAGAAGTCAATGGCTGATGAATTCTCAGAGGAGAGGTGCAAATGGGATCCATCCGGGCCTTTGAAACCAATTAAAGGTAACTTATCAGCATTAATCACATCACAATCAAAAGTAAATACAAATCACTAGTTAAGAAGCATTACTAATACAATGGATTGTACTTCTTGGCCCTTTTGTCCCAGGTAAGGAAAACAGAAAACAAAATGGGATTAACACTTATAACTTAAGCATGTTGACAAGACTCCATCAAATTTTGGACTGGAACTCATCAGCAATCATACGCATTCCTAACACGATTACTAGAAGTAAGATTTAGATTAAGAAAAGTGGTGTTAGACAAATGGCTTACAAAATTTTACATCGTGATCGTATTTTTGCTTTTATTTAACAATGGTAACATATTGTTGACTAGACATTCCAACAGATTTTGTTTCATATAAGATGATTTGAGAGTGCCAGTTGGGTGTGGTGGTTAAGTTATCAAGTTGGTTCTAGTCCTGCTTTAAGGCATGAAGCTAACTGGATGACCTTGGGCCAATCTCTCTCTCTCTCTCTCTCTCTCCCTCCCTCCCTCCCTCTCAGCTCTTGGAAGGAGGCAATAGCAAATCACTTCCAAAAAATCTTGCCAAGAAAAACTACAAGGACTGGTCAAGAGAGTTGCCAGGAGTGAACAATGACTTTTGAGAGACAGATTCTTGTGTAAAGTGTGTCCTGTCCCTCCCAGTACGCAAGGCTTCTGTGCCATAACAGCTGCAAGTAGGGACAGAAAAAGTAACAAGTTCTCTTGCAAGTGTGCTTCATCTGATGAATGTTTGCTTGTGATGTTTGTAAATGCAGATCAGGGGAAAAAAGGGAATGCTTTTTAAAATGAACAATTGCAATGAAAATCTAGAAACATATCTCTGTCACATCAATTATGTAGAGAAAACTATTCTTAAGGGTTTTTTTTTTGCAGAAAGGCAGTCTCATCTAATGGTTAAAGCACTAGGTTAGAAATAGGGAGACTAAGTTCCAGTCTCACTTTAGACATGAAATCACCTGAATGACCTTGAGCCAGTCACTCTCTCAGCATAGGAAGTAGGTAATGGCAAACCATTTCTGGAATCTTGCCAAGAAAACTGCAGGGATTTTTTCCAGGAAGACACCAAAACTGACTTAATAATATTATAATAATAAAAAAGTTGGAAGGGACCTTGGAGGTCATCTAGTCCAACCCCCTGCTCAGGCAGGAAACCCTATACCATTTCAGACAAATGGCTGTCCAGTCTCTTCTTAAAAACTTCCAGTGTTGGAGCATTCACCGCTTCTGGGGGCAGGTTGTTCCACTGGTTAATTGTTCTAACTGTTAGGAAGTTTCTCCTTAGTTCTAGGTTGCTTCTCTCCTTGATTAATTTCCATCCGTTGCTTTTTGTCCTGCCTTCAGGTGCTTTAGAGAATAGCTTGACTCCTTCTTTGTGGCAGATATTGGAACACTGCTATCATGTCCCCCCTTGCCCTTCTCTTCATTAAAATAGACATACCCAATTCCAGCAACTGTTCCTTATATGTTTTAGCCTTCAGTCTCCTAATCATCTTTGTTACTCTTCTCTGTACTCTAGAGTCTCAACATCTTTTTTACATTGTGGTGACCAAAATTGGATGCAGTATTCCAAGTGTGGCCTTACCAAGGCATTGTAAAGTAGTGTTGATACTTCACATGATCTTGATTCTATCCCTCTGGGTACTCCCCCCCAAAAAAGGTTTTTTTGCACTCTTCCCCTGCCTCCACCCAGGTTTGGGAATGCACAGTAAAAAAACAACAACACAAATTAGTGCACTTTTTACATATAAATAGAAGGTAGGAATGAGTAGAGCTAGTTCCTTTTCAAACCTAATAGCCCAATATATAGTGAAGATAATAAGGTATTTGAATATGGGAGATATACTGTATAGCTGCATTTAAAAAACAATGAGTACTCAAGACCTGAAGGGATCATTATGATAATCTAATCTGAATTACATGTGCTATGTCATAATTCTCTCCCAGTAATCTGTTTCCTTAACTGCTCTCTACATTTTGAAAATAGAAGTCAAAGGAAAACTATGTAGACAAGAAACCTTGGTTTACTTCTCTCAAGTATTCACGTAAAGCAGGTGGTGGATTAGGTCCATTGAGATGAGTGGCTCTAAAAATTCAATCCTAGACCACCAACTATGAGTGAGAGTCCACACAACATCTGAGAGGGCCCTTTCTTGCCTAAATCTGATCTAGAAGGCCTGGCTACCGTAAACTCTCTGAGAAGAAAAACAATAATTGATATAGACAAATGCTGTGACAAAGTTTTCATATAAAGTGGATATAGAACAAAGCACTATCTCAAAAAGCTCTCAGAAATCATATTTGGATTTTAACTCAGTGAAACAAATTCAACAATTCAGAGTAGCCCATAACAATTCATGTAATGCTTCTCCTTTATTCTTTTGCGATGAAAAGTACAAAAACTATTGACATCTTAAAGGCTGTCAATTAAATAACCTAAACTTCACTGCAGAATAATTTATGTCTTATATATGTGTTCATATTTCAGATATAGGACTCTTGGATTTCTTTTTTTTTCTTTTTGCATCAACTACAGGCATATTTTCCCCCCAGTGACATATCTTCTTACCACAGTTTTGTCTTTGTTCAGATAAACATTGAAGAACACCATAACCACATCGACACAGCTGGCAACCTTTCCATATCCATTCTCCATGCATGAATGGGCCACAGTTGCTGCCAATGACAAACCAGAAGATGCAACATTATTTCCAAGTGTCATTGACAAGCCACAATCACCCCACAATATATACCTTCTTTACCTTTTCCGTTCATCATGCTCGCAGTATCTGCCAACAAAGTATTCGGGGCATGCACAGAAACTGCCCAGGATGCAAGTTCCTCCATTTTTACAACAGTGCCGGTTAAGGGTTCGACCTGAAAATGAATAGCCCAGAGTTGACAAAAAAACCCTTCTTTTTCACTTGCTTTTGCCAAGTCTTCCTAGCTGCCAAAGGCCTGCTTCTATTGGCCTTAAGGGCACAATAAAATTAGTTGCCTGTTAAGACTGTTTGTTCAGCTAAGCCCAGATTGTTTAGATAAGGATTAAAAGCAAACTGCTAGAGATTACTGCATGGCCCATGACTTGTTCTACTGCAGAAGCTTGCATGTCAAACTGCAGATTTCACTCCAGCAGAAGGTAATCATACTCTCTTTTGAAAATAGTATTGATATTTACCCAAAGAAAGAAAATAAACATCATTATCTTTTGCCAAATGTACATAGATTTATCATCTTATTTTAGCTAAACTATGCCTTCAAGTCATATACACATACATACACATGTTTTAACTATAATAAAAGCATTATCCTGAAATCTACCTATCTCCTAATTTGCTTGGCAGAAAGAGTTATTGCAAATGGAACTGTTAGAGCTGATGAGTATTTTTTTTTAAGGTCAGTCCTGGGTACATGGAGTTCATTTCCCAGAAGTAAACAATTGGGTCTTACTTTTTGTCACAGCTCATTACAGAAATGTGCCAGAAAAGTACAATAATTTGTCACCTCCATTAGAATTTCCAAGTGAAGAAACATAAGAATTATAATCCTAAACATCTAAAAATCTTAGGGTCTCTAAACATATAGAGGATTAACTGCCTACAGAGCAGCTTCTGGATATTTATTTTAAAAAATACATCACGGCTCAGTAGAATATAATTTAGTGTATAAAGATTGCAGTTTATAGCACAAGCCTTAGTAATATTATTTACAAAGGGTTCATAAGATTTTTGCCAGCTCCCCCACTGACAGGCTACATAGGATTTTGCAACTGAACTCTGCAGAAATTCTACTAATGAAAGACAATGCAGAATCCTATATTGTTGGGAGCAGGGCAATGCATAAATTGATTAATATATTTTTTTAAAAAAAATCTCATTCTGCCTTGCCTATGTCCAGGGCAAATAAGAAGTTATTTTGGGGAAACAGATTTTCCAATGGACATTTCCAATAAATACATGTGTATTTATTGCATTTTTATTGTAAAACATATATTTTATCTTTACCATATTTCTTGGAGGTGGGCAAAAGTAAAACTGGATGCTTGTTCTAAAGACCTCATGGCTGTACCATGCCTACAGTTAAAGGTTGTACAAAATGACTGTGGATAGGATTGGCTAATAAATTTCATGGCAGAGCAAGGATTTGAACCCAGGCCTCTCTTTACTAAGTTCCTGTTAATATATGTCAGCTGACTAGTGTTACGGGCACTAGATTGAAGAAATCTGTTGCTATAATAAATTCAGATATCAAGATTTAGGAAGCATGTAAGCATAAAGAAAGTAACTTACTCTTTGTTAGCCCAGTGAAAGGTACAATTGGTTTCAAGTTGATCTGCTTTTTATACTCAGAGCTCTGATTCATAACACCGAAGACTTTTAATGTGGTGGCTCCTCGCTCTTTTGCACTGTGCTTTTGAATAATGACATCCACATTTCCTTTGGGGTCATGAGTGTCTTCTTCTATTCTAAGGCCTGATGGGATGCAAAGAAAGAAGAACATAAGAGAGTGCACTATTTTACAGACGGCAAAATTGCAACCAAATTATGGGAAAATTCCTCACCTTCTCCAAAATTAATATTCTGCAAAACCAGAGTTATTGTTAAAATAAACCTGGAGAGGCAAAGTATGAACAGACATTAGTTCAGTATGAAAAACATTGGTGTGAGAAAAGAGCATTCAAGTCCACCCCTCAAAAATACTACTATAGAATTCACTCTTGAGTTTTACTGCTGGATTTATGAAGGCAAACTTAAATCACAGACAAAGAAGTGAGCAATTTAATGCTAAACATGCTTAGGCAAAGTAAAGTGAAGTCAAATTGAATTGTCTGAGACTTCTTTCTAAGAGCAACACAATCCTAGGGTATAGATAAGCCACTAAAACACGAAACATTATACATAGTTATAAGATCCCAGCTAAATAGTCCTATTCTTTTCTTTGTTACTGAGATAATTGCTTCAAAATCACATTTATAGCCCTATTACCAAAGCAAATCACTGTATTATAAAAAGACAATAGTTCTGGAAATTATATTTTACTCTCACTAGAGCCAAAATGTTCAATATGTAATATCTCTTGCTTCTACATGGATTACAATTTTACCTTTGTGTATATAAAGAATAGAAGATGCATGACCGAATACAATTTGATTATAGGTATAAAAATGTAAAGTTACCTGGTATTTTGCCTCCAATACATTTTCTCAAGACGTTTTTCTCTTTCAAGCCCACTTCAGTTCTAAAGCTGTTTCCAAATAAGTGTGGTCCAGATTCCTCACCTCAAACAGGAGCAGCTGTTTCATGTGATTAGGTGGACCTTTTTCAGCTATTTCTCATTTCCTCCAGGGGCACATATTCCTTCTAGAAGCTCTTCTGTGGTTAGATTTTCAGAGAGGTATAATCCATTCTAAAGTGGGTTAGCTCCTACCCCTCCCCTCCATAAACACATCTTGCTGGGGGAGGAGCAATCTTTCACATACACTGCAGGGGGTAAAGCTTCTCCTTCACAAGGAGTCTTCTAGCATTGGTCTTCAACTAGTACCGTAGGCTGGTGTTGATAAATTGCCCTATTTTACAGTTGGAAAGAAGAATGGGCCACTAGCTGTGCCAATAATATTTCATTCTTGCTTGCATTGAGTTTAAAGAGAGGGAGATGATGGTCAAGTACAAAGGAGGACAAGGGGGATTCTGTACTTTTAAATTGTGGAATATTCAACAGGCAAGGTGAAGCTTGCATGCAACAGAGAGGAAATTGTCCTTTTCTGTGTCCTTGTAAAAGACTCTTTGCAACTGGTTGTCATAGAGATTCAGAAAGTTATTCCAGAAATTTATTCCAGATATGATAATAAAATATAGCCTTCCTTTGGTCATAAATCTGAAAAAGGCCACCTGCTTTTCACCAAAGAAAAGGATGGCTCAAAACTTGATTATTTAGCCATCAGTTTTTTTAAAATAAGTACGAAGTGTTTTGAAAGGGCTTGTGGCTTGTATTTTTTTTTAAAAAGGTGCATAAAATACAATTATGCACCCATACTCTTTCTGCACTTAAGGAAAACACAGCAGAAATTGAACTGATCCTGCTCTATAGTAGAAAAATGGAATTTACTGTCCCTGCCTCTTTTGTTTCTATTTCAAATCACTGAGCCCTCTGACATCTTGAGATTTCCCTTGGATCATGCCAGAATAAGGGAGAAACAGCCAAAGAAGACGTAAGAAGATATGCAGAGAATGAGGGATTAGCATTGGAGAGACTGAAGTTCAAGTTGTCCCTCAGCTATTATTATTATTATTATTATTATTATAATTTAATTTATATACCGCCCTTCTCCCGCAGGACTCAGGGCGGTGCACAGCGTATTAAAAACAGTACAAATACAAAACATAAAACTACAAACCCCTATAAAACCAGATTAAAAAACCGAATATTAGAAGCTGTGTTTCTATTTAAAATTATTTTTAAAATCACCCTAAATA